GCGCGCGCAAGCTCCTTTCTTACTTCTCTTTAGCGTTAATGCTTGGTTAGACGCCACAAAGCCACGATTATGCCTCGCCATTAGGGCGCCCGGTCGATTACGGGATCGTGAAAAAAAAGGACTCGGCAAGGACAATGTCGCGATGGGCGGTTGCCAACTGGTCCCGCTGGGATCTTTTTATTGGCGATGTTTTAAGTAAGAGGGTTGCCCACGCCACCACACGCTCTCCTATCGCCTCGTTCACCCTCTCAATCCATATCGATAAACACAACTCACAGACTCGTTCTGGGATTTTCTTTTTGTCCTTAAGGCGACGCGTCACACACTTCCGCCGGTAAAGAAATCGTGAAAACCGCTTCCAAGTTTTCTCGAAAACGGTTTTGCAGAATGACTTGAAACCTTTACCGTCGACGTCTGGTTAATAAAGGAACAAAGTGGTTCTCCGCATTTTTCCCGATTTTGACCGAGAAATTACAGTTTCGATTACCACACAAAATCTCTAAATTTTTGTTTTCTGAATCAAGAAAAACGCGGAGAACCACTTTGTTCCCCTATTAATTAGACGTTGACTGCGAAAATTTCAAGTCATTCTGTAAAGCCGTTTTCGCGAAAGATTGAAAGCGGTTTTCGTGATTTCTTTACCGGCGGACGCGTGCGGCACATCGCCCTAATAAAAATCTCATCCGTTGATCGGCCCGATGTTACCGAGAGTCTTCAGATCGGACAAAGGCGATCCGGAGGATTCTCGAGTTCCGCGTCACCGTTTGGAGGGACGAAATTGGAAATATCGACGCGCAATTCGCGGATCGGGCGAAAAGCTCACGACGAATAGACACGTACCAGGAAATCGAAAGCGAGGCATCGCCACTGCTACGACGTCGGTGGTTCGCTGCATGCGTGGCCATATGGCGATTATCCGCATCCCGGTTATTTATAGCGACGGCTTGAACACCGCACGCGGAGCGCACCCCAGACAGACGCGCAGCATCGCGATCTGTGCGTCGCGTCGCGTCGCGTCGAGCCGCGCCGCGCGTGAATTGGACCGGGCCTAGAATTCTAAAACCGCCGTCTTGGCGGTCGGGAATCGGCCTCGTAAATCGCGAGCGCCTCGGAGGCTACGGTGGTTTATACACACCTCCATAGCCCGGAGCGGCAGGTCGTATCAAGAGGAGAATGTCGGCGGCTACGTAGAAACTAGCTGCTGGCCAGAGGCGCCCGGTTGTTTCTAAACCCACCTTATCTACTGGCCCCTATAATAAGCCGCGATTTGAGACCGTATATCCCCGCCCGCACATGCTCCGAGAAGTCCGCTCGCACTCATACATTCCCGTCGCGCGCTAGGTAGCTACCCGCGAACCCTCGGCGCGTACACGGCGCACTATACCACGAAGCGCTTGCAATTACAAGCTGGTCAACATATAATTATCCCCAATGACCATAAATTACTGAATTTTTATGCGCAACATTCTTAATTACCCTTTGAATTAACATCAATCAACCCCTTAATTGCACGCTGCCGCTGACGCTGCTTCCACGTCGTCGTCGCTGCCGCCGCCGACGACGACGACGACGACGACTACGACGATGCCGGCTATAGGACTATAATGCGAAATAGCGACGTGTGCCGCGGGCTAAGAGCAGGACGCGGAAGAAAGACGCGGGCCGACTGGCGTGAGAAAAAGCGAGAGGGAGGAACGTAAGGGAAACGGTGGGTGTCGCCCGAGGGCAACCCTCCCGAGGGTGGATGACTGCCAGTCCTCGAGAGACTCCTCGCGCGGATAGGGACGAGCGCGTCGCGTCGCGCCGCGTCCCATCGGATGACAGCGTCGTGCGTAACGCGCCCGTTTTAATTGCCTTCGGAGAACCTCGAGTGATTCTCATATCAATCGCCTTGGCGTATTAATCGCGCGTCCTATTACACGGACTTTCATCGTTTATTCAGCGAGTGATTACCACCGGAGGAGCCGCGCCGGGAACGGCGGCTTCTCCGGCGAGGAAGGCGACGCGACGCGAAAGGAGAATCATCTCGCCGCCCCGATAAACAACTCGATCGTTCACGGGAGAAATCGGTAGGTTTCAACGGATCAGTCTGGACGGAACGTAAAATATCGCCCGTGTGTGCGGAATGCCCGATTTAATTTCTGTGTCGAATATCTTGCAAAAGAATACCCTGCGGGCGCGGCCTCTTCCCCTTTTCGAAAGATTTATATGCGATCTCGATCGTGAATAAAGCATTTTTCAAGGTCGCACGATCAGAGGGTACCAATTTTGAAACGGTCGGCTATGGTGACGTTTGAACGATCGCGCTATAATCACTCGCGATATCTTCGTCCGGTTAAGAATTCCTCTTCTATTTCACAAATCACGAACCGTGAGGGCGATGCGATACGCTAATGAAACCGCACTCTCATTAAAGCATCCAAATCGACGATACTAATTGGCTAGCTTTCGGAATACCCGGCATTAGACCTCAGGACGCGATATAATAATCGCTGCGGACGAATTCGGTTTGGACAGCCGGTGGTTAAAGCGTCTAGTAATTTCACGGGCGCAGCCCTACAGCGATTAATATGATTCCGACGGAAATTAATGACTGCAAACGGAAAAAAGATAGGTTGCATATAGTCCTGCTCCGGCGGGGGGAGAATGGGGGCAAAATGTTGAGAGATTAAATACTCTGGCCAGTTTTTTTTTTATATACGTACAAAGTAAGACTTTTTTACTTTACCGCGAGGATCTTCGAGTGTAATTAATTCCAATGCACTCGCGTATCGACTTGTTCGTTGAAACGAGATTGTGTCTAAGGGCGGAATTAACGTATGACAATTTTGTCTTTGAGACGGACATCGATGAAGAAATTCACTTGCAACCCATTTATCGACAGTCGCTCCCGTGGCACAAAAATCGAATAATGCTTATTAATCAGCTTAATTAGCGGCACAGCTCCTCTCGTTGCACGTTGCGTAAATTAATTCCTCGTAGCGATGATCGATGCGATCTCTTCGCCTAGCAGCGGTCCCTGCATGCTGGGCTGGCTTATTTTGCCGTTTTAATTGATGCGAGACAAATACGGTGACTGTTAGAATATAATAATTTTGTTTTACCACAATATTACGTACAAGCCGTAATTACCACGATGTAATATATAAACGCATATAGAAATAATTTTTCTATTAAAAAGTTGACCGTCTTATTATATTTAAAGATATCTCGTTGTCCAGTTAGTGAACTTGTTTGTACGAACGTTGACATGAGAAATTAAGGGATCGTATTGTGCGCGAGAGAAAATCATTAGAAATCGACAGATAGACATTGGAAAGGAAACCTTGCTCTCTTAAATGTTTTATTTCTCGTCCGTTGAAAGAAAAAGATAATTCTCGGTTTACTCTTGTTGGGGAAACTTGAATTTGCGAATGTTCAAGATGACTGCGCTCGCGCGATGGGTAAAATAAGGCAAGAACAGGTGGACATTGTCGAGCGGGCGCAGAGATAAATCTTGCTCATTTTTCTCACTTTCTGGTCCGCGAGGGATGGCGTACGTCGCTTTGAGTCGAAAGCCGTAGCAATCGACGGCACAGCAGTCCGCGGCTACGTCGGCAGGAGGACGCCTGTTTCACCCGGCCTCGCTCAATCATCTCGGCATCTTGAGCAGTTTTCGCAATTGCCGCTAAGCGGACGCCGCGACGCGCGACCCGGGCACGTCGGGACACCCGTATTTACAAGGGAACGGGCGACATTAACGCGAGAGTTTGCACTTGTGAGCGGTCTATTTGGTACCCAGCGACCTAACGCTTTTATTATAAACACGCCGCCGTTTTAAAGCACGGCATCAAATATTTTTACGATGGCCATTATAAAACGCCTTTTATGAGGAACAAAGTAGCTCGCAGGCAGAAGGTGTTTTCTCGCCCTTTGACAATAATTTGTCCAGAATAACCGGCTCGTTTCACTCTCGGCCCCCCACGCCCGGGCTTCCGCTCGATGATCCATCCAGCCGTTCGTCATAGGCGCGCGGCTTTTAAAAAGTAAAGCGCTGGACTCGGGCCAGCGCAAAAATAGAAGCAGATGTTATTAGTTGCGTTCACCAAGTATACGACGACCGCCGCGGCGCGACGAGGCAGGCGGCGGTGGCGGAGGGAGGACGGACGCGAGCAGAAGGCGACGAGGGAATGGCGTGTCCAGACGGTAGTGATTTCATTGCCCTTGAATTCTTACTAACTGAACGCTTAGATAAAAATAATTAGGCGGATAAACGCGGGGCGGAGGGCCGGGGGTCTGCGGGCCGTTAGTCGCGGCGATTTTATTCTTGAACCTCCCTCGGCGCCTCTCCCGCTCTCCCGTCCGATGCGCCAACCAAATGTTTTTGCTTTGAAGTTGGAAGATGAACGGGCCTCTTCTAATTTCCAGCGTCTGCATTCTTAACAGCTGCACGCGCCGCCGTTCGATACGGCCGATGCGGCACCGCGCGTCGCGCCGCGCCGCGGCGCGCCGGTTTAATTAGCATCTCGCGTGTCGTCTTTCTCCCCCGGTTCTCGAAAAACCAAAAGCAATCCGAATTGATATCGATCGTTTAACAAGGCTCCTCATCCCTCGCGGCAAGTTGCGTCCCGTGAGTCTTTTATTGAAGAAACGTAGCGCGTGCAGTAGTGGCCCCTGCTTTTTTTTTTCTTCCAGGTATTAAATCAAGTAGCGACGTAACGAGATATACATAACGATATCCGTGTAATCGTCCCGTAGAGATCATTCGCGCTGCGTAAACGATGGAAATCGCTCGTACGTGATTGCGTAATGCCGCAATTACGTTCGGTCAGATTTACAAAACATCAATTGGAAAATGCGCGATGGTTATATTTATTAGGCGCGGCGCGACCGTTTCGCGCTATTGAATCGAAACGCGCGAATTATATTGGCGCTATAATGGGATTGCGTCGTGCCAAGGGCTCGCGCGGCGGCGCGGCCGCTATTAGAACGGTCCTCCGAGAGTTTTGGTCGATTTGCAGATTACGAGTCCCCGGGATGCAAGGCTGACATGGCGGAGGGTTCGGCCGAGGAGGAACAGAGCAGTACTGCTGCGCCCGCTTCCCCGCCAGCTGATCTTCGCACTCTGAACACCCAATTGTCGTCGCCTTATCACCACCAGCCCCATCTCCAGTCTCGTCTTCAACATCTGCAGCATTCCAACATGCTGGCGACCGCCGTACCGCCCCGGCACAGCCACAGTATGCTGTCTCATCAGGTGAAAGCGGAGGCAGAGCTGGACGGCCCCTGCGATGTGCCATTGAATCTCAAGAGCGAGGTAAGCGCAGAAATCCCTCTCGTCGATTATTGATGTTGGGAATCGGTTAACTGCTTTCGATTGTTCATTTTCGATCTGTGTTTTGCTCGCCGAGCGGTTACCGGCGACGCCGGCCGGAAATCGCAACACGTTGCATGACAAGCGCTAACCATTACTGTCGCAAAGAGGAAAAAAAAGAAAAGAACGAGCGCGCAGTGCCTGGCAAACCATTTCGGCGTAGTCTATCTTTTAGCTTGATGTAGCAAGTGTAGCTAATTACTACGTAAGTTACCGACGGCCTATTTCTGTCGGCTAGCGATGATAAGCGATCGCCCGACCCACACTCGGGCCGAAGTGATCGAGATATCGCTGCAGCGCTAAAGCGCGCGACGATCGGGACGGTCGTCGCACTCGTTACTAACGGTTTTGTGTGTCAATGACAAGCAATTGTGCGGTTAAGTAGCCGCCACGACGCATCTCAACCCAAATCGGCCAATGATCTTTCTCTCTCTCTCTCTCTCTTTCTCTCTGTATAAGATCTGTGTAAGATTAACGTAGAAAACGAAGCGCATCCGAGTGACTTGCGCGTAGATGATGCGATCTCGTTCGTTGACGCGTGTTTCTCGTCTTCTAAAATACTCTTTTTTTTTCGGAGCATTCGATCTTGCGATGTAGACACCGGACACCAAGCCGATGGCAATTTCGTGCATCGATTATTCACATCACGAGATTACGTAACATTCGCGCTCAAATGTCTGGGAATCAAAATTCTCGCCGTGGAGTTATATAACGCACGATTTACGTAGTGCGTAAGACAGATTTCTGTCGTGCCCAAAGTGCGACAGCATCGAGCAGCTATTCGAAAAGAAAGCCGTTAGTCTGGTTACTAATTGCATACTTTTGAGCGATATATCTCGTGGCTAGAAACGAGTAATGTTACACCGAAACGACTGCAAACTGACAGAAAGGTAAATTATTAACGCAACGCTTGTTTTTCACTTACCGGAAATTGACAGAGAGATAATGACAAGAATCGTGGCTAAATTGAAGAGGCGGAATATCAAGGCCCTTAACATGCTCTTTTTTCTAAGTGTTACACGGCCATTTTTACATTTTCCAATAATGAAATAAGATGATTTCCCGATTCTCTCCTCGATCGAACCTGCTTGATCCTCGGCGTTCGAATGTGACGTTAAATTGCATTTTATAATTGCTACCGCTAATTATGCGAAACTATCGGCATTTGTAACGCGAAACTTGCTCGCGCGGAGAAATGCGGGGAGGAGATAAAAATTAGGAAGGACTCTTTCGATCGGGAGACGTGGACAAGCTGAGCGAAAAGCCATTACTGAAACTGATAAATCGGTCGTATAATTATTTCTCGCGTAGCGAAATTAGTTGTAAGCAACGGTAGTTGTAAGTCGTTGGAACGAGGCGGTAAAGTATTACGAGGAAATCCTGACTTCTCCAGCTGCGCGATCGTAAAGCGGAAAATATTTGCACGTAGCTTATACGTGTACCCGCTTCAATGAACGGTGACCAGTTCCGTCGATGCTTGCGCATCGGACTAGCCGGTAGGGAGACTCCGGCAAACAAGCGTCCAGGGGGATTACTGGTCGTCAAATGTGTCTTTCCTTTGCGACAATTAACTCTCGCTTATCGACTCGCGGTCGCCCGTCGCCGGGTTTCAAAAAACGGAGCGCAGCGAGAGACACGTCGCGATCGAAATATATGAAAATGAGCAATCGGCAGGCCTGTCCCCGTTAGCAGATTCCTGGCGTCGCGCGCAAACCGCTTTATTGATAACGACGTAATGAAGTCCATCGCTCTACGATCTTAATTGCCAGAACACGAGCCACGCGATATTGTTAACCGTAAAGAATTGGACTCTACGAAGAATTCGACAATGATGCCAATTAAGCGACGCTAGACACGACGACAGCGCGTCTCGGCTGGAGTCTCGAAAACGGTAGTCTCATCCGTTTAGAGCTCGTTGTCCCTGTCCATCCATTACACTATTATCCCGTCGGCAAACACGGTATCCACGCCGGACTCCGCGCGCGCGGACTTAATGCCCGGCGCGCGTCTGAGGAGGGAGCGTGCAATTTACGCGCAAAAGAAGGAGGAATGTTTTATTCGCGCCCGGCAAAAAGAAAGATCCCCGTCGGTGTGTGTACGTAACAGCGGGACGCGGATAATAACGTCCGTCCGCGTTTCCGCGCGGCGAGACGCGGCGGTGACGAAAAGAAGGAATTCCCCGGCGCCGATCGATCACCGTCCGTTGATTCCGCGCGTAAAAATAATCCCCCACGACTGTTGCCAATTTTCTCGATCGGCAGCAGCGTCAGCGACATACAGATCGCTCGCACTTTGGACGCGGAATCGTTCGATATGCGGAGACGCGCGCGGGTGTTATATCAGCGGAATAATTTATCCGCGATTTCATCGCGGGCAGCTCACTCCGCGTAGAGTTCCGCAGTCGCTCGAACTTCTGTTCGACGATCATAAATTATTAGACCTTTGAACGCGGTATTCTTAACGACCCCCTCAGTGCCATTAGCCGTTCCTCTTAATTGCGGAATATCTCTCTTTCTCGAGAGAATAATGGATATTCAGCGACGCTAACAAGTATAAGGATATAAGGAGCGAGCGAGTGGATTTTGCGAGACGCGCAAGGTCGTCCGCGCGATCGAACGGAGACGTCGGCTGAAAGGGGGTCGCGAAAGAACCGGGTGCGTATATTCTCGCCTCGAAATTGTTCGGCGAGTAATTGAACTGACGGAGGGACGAATGGATCTCGGTAACGCGTTAAGTATACGATGTAAAAATACGGGCATGCCGCGCGGGACGCCGGAGGAGCGCAAGCTCGAAACGGATCGAGCACCCTTCGCATCCGCGAGGACCGCAGTAATGTGCATATATATGCAAATATTCGCGTATCTCACAGACACATCTGCGGGCCGGAAACCGTTAAACGCTCGACGGATGCATCGTCACGAATATTCCTCCACTCGTGGTCCCGAAGATTTCGCCGGTCACACGATAGAAGCCGCTAAACCATCTACAGGCTTTGCCGCAGAGGCAGCGACCCTATCCAGACCCTCTCGAATCCGAAGACGCAAATTTCACGTAGCTGAATCCGGCGCGTTGACCGTCCGATGGATCGATACGCCGTAACCAGCCTTAAGGCGCATTCCAGCTTGATGGCCACCGGTCCCGGCCGTAAATGCATCTGTCAAGAAAGTGATTGAAGGTAAACGATTCAGGGGAGTCGCAAACGCCCAGACGGCTCGGATCTCATTACCTCGGTGGCTCATTTCAGCGACTCAATTGCATTTCGATCGGATTTCACAATTATTATGATTATTGTTAAGCGAGACCCGCGCGTAGGTCTCTGCGGCCGGCGCGCCGATCAGAATCGGGCGGAGGGGCAGTCGTCTCGCGCAGCAGCCCCGGCATTCGACTCGCCGAGATGTCCCGCGTCTCGATCGATCGTAAAAAGACCGTTTGTCGCGTCGCACTGTGGTTTTGCCACAGCAGATATCGGCGCGACGAAAGTCACCCGACGATTCCACTAATTTCGGAGATAACGTTTTTGCACGAGCAAACGGTCCTTGCGACGTGATGACCGGAGCGCGCATGGAGCTCGCGGTCAGTCGCGCCGACGAGCGCCGGGAACGAAGGAAACTCGGGGGGCAGTCGCGCTTTCGTCGGAAAATCCGCAGTTTTGCGACGCATTATTATACTTGCCGGTCGCAAAAGATTTAGCTAATAAAAACGTACGTTTGACGGGCGATCGTCCGTAAAGCAACGTGGTCAGAACGACGAACGTGGAAATGGGTGGCAAAAAGAAGAATGAGAGAAAAAAAAGTGGAAGAAGTAAAGGGAATAAAACGCCGAGATATTCTATCGATGGCTCGTCTATTTCTCTCACATGGTATTCGCGGAGTGATGGAATGTTTATCAATAGATTAATCTCGGAGATCGGCGGGTGGTTCCGCGTCGTCGCCGGGCAGGCTCCTCGATTGCGATTAAACATAAAAGTATTATTTCAATCTGGCCCCTCCGCGCGCGTCGGCCATACATTCTCTCGGTGTGTATGTCATCCCCGTCTGCACACACGCACGCACACACACACACATACGCGCTCGACGTGCATGTGTGTGCGCGCGCACTTACTCGCGCGACCGATAGATCGGGCATTTTTCCATTAGATTGGAACTTGATTAAATTGAAAATCTGTCAATTTAGGAAAAAGCATCCGACAGCTTATATTGACGGTGGACATTATACGCGGTGGCCAACGAGGCAGAACTCGTTGGCCTGACAACTAGCGGAGATATAAAACCCATCGTCGCGACGATGGACCCGGGATGCGCGCCGGGCTGTTTACTTTTTGCTTCCTTTTGCGCCCTTGTAAAATTAATTGCCGGACGCTCTTTGAGGGTGACGCTCGCTTTCGCCGTTCTACCGATCGCGGAAATTTGCTCACGGTGTCATTCGTTCAATCTCCACCCTGATATGATTCCGACGCAGCACCCTCTGCATCCCCCTCTCCCCCCCCCCCCCCTCCCACGTTCATCCCCCTCGCGACAGTTCCGCGTCCGTCGCGAGATACTCGCTGACGAGTTTTTGTAACGAACGCATTTATCGCGTACACTTTTAAAGGTATAATGTGGCTTTAACGGATTTAATCCGTTCGCATTTGCCGTCCGCGTCAGGCAATCGGACGGGGCGTCCTGCTCGATGAAGGAGGAAGGGCGTTTCTTTCGGTCGTTTGACGAGCGTCAAGTAACCTACATGCCTAATCGTCCACGCTTGGAAACATATGTTACGTCCATTGCGCGGCCTACTTTAATTGCGGTGTGCGTCTTCTTGACGTCGTTCTAAGAATTTATGTAGAAATATCGGTTTAGAATTCAAACAAATAATAAATTCGTAAGACTCTAGTGTGAAATCGCAGATACGAATGAAGGAGTGAAAACCGAGACGGGATCTAAATAATTTTGATTTGAATTTGC